GGGTTTAGGGGCGGTTTAGGATTTATGTATGAGGGCCAAGGGATCCTGGCATCGGAAAATGAGACAGGAGAGGTCAAAACTGCTTTTGAGTAAGGTGCCGGGTAAAGAAGATGACAGGGGACTGGTGAGGTTTGTTGTTGGAACTACTGGAATGTACAACGGGCTAGCGGTTGAATGATACCACCTGTCACGGCCACGAGGCTTCTGTACTAGCCTTTCATGGGAGCTTCGCAGGCTTTCTGTTGTAGGCAGTGCCTCACACTTGCAGGAATATGTCCTAAGATCAGGCCTTGCATGTGAGGCTTTTTTGGGGCTTGAGCAGTTTTATCACGCAGGCGTAGTATGTAGCTGCAGCATTCTGCTTCAAGGCTACTGGACCGTTCAACCAAAATACAGCACGCATTTTAGATTGATACTTGAGGGTTGCTCAGTGGCTCCCTACAGACCGATGACAGAGACACTCAGCATCACATCGCACCTTCGTGTAAGGATCAAGGCGTTTTCTATACTCAAATCACTCGGTGCTCGCAGCCGTCGTCGATAAGGCTTGAAAGGGGGCAACGCTTGGCTTGAGGTAAACTTCTCTTCAGGTTGTGGCCAGCAGCAGTGTCTTGCCAGATACGCTGCTTGTGCTTAAATGGGCTTTAACAGCTGCGATCAGCCACTGTTTTGAAAGCATTCAGGGCTTCTTGACTTAAAGCTCGGCGCCCTCGCCCGAAACCTGGACAGAGTTGTAGGAGAAGGGAATGCAATCCGAATCCTGGTGGGCAGTTGCTATTACATGCGCAGCCTGACCAAGTTTTTCAGCGTGAAACCAGCCAGCAGCCATAGCAAGTTTGTTGTTTTCTGCTGAGAAGTTCCAGGCCATCGCGTTGCAGAGATGAGACTGAAGCACTTCGGCAGACCTTGATTGCCTTCATGGGCAGGAGGGTGGGGGTTAGGGTTTGGAATTAGATATCAGGGTTGATGGGAGCCCTTGACATGTTGGGTTCTTTTGCGTTGAGAGTGGTCTTCCCTGGAATTGTTCAGCGAGGGTAGCCCCGAACAGAGGGAAGCTTTAAGCGGGGCCAGAGTCTCGACAACTGCCTATGAAAGGAAGGCAAGGGAATGGACTGTTAGGCGCTTTTCAAAGGCAGGAGCTTGTTAAATCCTTTAGCATGCCAACACCCAAGGTTTCAAATATGGAAGGCAGCTGCAGCCGTCAGCCGTTCAAAGCCTTGGAAATCCCGAGAACCTGCGATTTTTTGCTTCTATTATTCTTTCTGTGACTGCTACTATTAAAGCAAACTATTACTGTTCCCTTTGCTCTCCATCCTGGACAAAGAAAACCGCGTTGGCCCCTGTCAATCCTCTGAAACTACTTCAAGCGCCAAGGTACCATGTCTGCACGACCCCGGCTGCAGTGACGGATCTGGCCATGGCGGATGTCAAGCAGACCGAAGCCCGGCCAATCTCTGCATACCTTGGGTTTGGGGTTTAGGGTCCCC